TAAAAGAGGAAGTAAAGCAAATCTAGTGTCCTTCTGAAGGCTCTGCACCACAGCTTGGGCTCGCTGTTTCCCTCAACTCCCAGAGCATTCCACCCGCTAGAGATTGCTACATTGCAGTCTTTTCGTGGGGAAACTCTGTAAGGAGTACCTGGGGGAGATTCTGTTGATCTGCTTTACCTGAAAGTGACTCCGAAGAGGTGGACCAAGGCTAGCTCCTCTAATTGCTGTGGGCACCAGCTCCACAAAGAACGGAGCGGTGTTCAATCGGCCATTTCTTCCCTGGAAGCCCTGTTTTATATGTAAGATCTATGAGCTACCTTTAGTCCAGCTGGTTTCAGGCAGTAGACAAATCTCATAAATAAATTTTAAAAATGACTCAAAACTTCATGCTGCCATGACAACCACATAGCAGGACACATTCTGGGCACAAATTCCTGCCGCACCACAATCTGTCCCACCTGCAAAGTGTCTCCAACATCCTTTGATTGTTCTTACACTGCACATCATATAAGTGCATCTAGCATTCTTTTATCAAGTCTGGGCTTGCTGACAGCATCTTTAATCTGCTGTTTTTCAAAGCATTTATCTTTGTAGTCTGTTACATGAACAGGTACATTGGTTTGACTGAGTTGGGAATCATAGCAAATGCTAAGATGACAAGCATGACTTCTCTTCTTCATAGTGGCAAATCAGCAGTGTTAGTGAAATGCATTTTTCCTACAAATTTTGTAATTGTTGTATGGTTGCTGGCTTTCACATTAGCATACAGGTAGTCTTTGACTTATGACCATTCATTCAGTGACTGTTCAAAGCTCCAAATGTGCTGAAAAAACTGACTTACAATCAGTGCCTGAAGTTACAGTCGTTGCAGCACCCCCATGGTCTTGTGATCAAAATTTGGGTGCTTGGCAGCCCGCCCGCACTTACAACCACAGGGGCACTTCAGCTCCCCCCACCCATCTCCCCCCCAACTATGCCCTTTTGTCCCCTTGCCACCCTGTGCTCCACAGCTGACCTTCATCGTCTTCTTGCTCCTACTGCTGATGAGACATGCCCGGCCTGGCTGCTGGGCCAGGCTGGGCTGGGCTTTGGCTGAGGAAAAAAAAAAAAGCCAAAAGCAGCCCCAGACCCGCAGTACACCAAAAAGCCCCTTTGCACTGTGCTCTTGGGTGGGGCGAGGCTGGACTTTTGCTTTGTGCTAGGAAAGGAAAGGAAAGGAAAGGAAAGGAAAGGAAAGGAAAGGAAAGGAAAGGAA